TCTGCTTTATGTGCTTTATGTGCTGTGTTTGAGTATCACTCACCCAGTCCCACGCTGCTGTTCTCCAGCAGGTGATCAAACTGATCAAACATGGCCTTCTGGTTCTGACGGCTGATGCGACAGAAGTAGCACAGGAAGCGGCAGCAGCTCGCCACCATCTTAGGGAAGGCGATTTCCTGTTACAGAAGGAAACAGAATCAGGAGGATTCAACAGATCCACACGTCTTCATGTGAGCCTGTGCCATTGATCTGCTGCTGCATGTGTGTGTTTGGATCAATACTGGACAGCAAAGACTCATCAATCACTCACACACTCACACATACTCTCTCTCACACACACACACACACACACACACACACACAGAAGTACTCCAGAACAATCACGCGTTACACAGGCTGTGTTTGCATCAGAGTAAAAATGCACTGTACAGTATCTAAATATGGAACTCTTCTGCTCATCAAGGCTGCATTTATTTGATCAGAAATACAGAAAAATTGTAATATTGTGAAATATTTTTACTATTTAAAACAGCTGTTTTCTATGTGAATATCTGTTAAACTGTAATTTATTCCTGTGATCAAAGCTGAATTTTCAGCATATATTACTGTTTTTTCTGTATTTTTGATCAAATAAATGCAGGCTTAATGAGCAGAAGAGACTTCTTTAAAAAACATTACAAATCTTACTGATCCCAAACTTTTGAACAGCAGTGTATATACATATTTATTTATATATACTGAGATACTTTTATAGGTTTATTAATATTTTGAATCAGTATTTATCTTTATATATATTTTTTTTAATTAAAATTTTAAAGTTTTAGTAATTTTGTTGTCATTTTTATTTTTACATTTTTGTTATCTGACACATGAATGACTCTAATGAACTGCTTCTTTGAATGAATCAGTCAAAAAGACTCACTAGTTATTCTGAATCAGTCTAATGAATCACTTTAGAGCCGTGGCTCTCAACCAATAGAGACTTAAAATTATTCAATTATATTTTAAAATTAATCGAACTTAATTCAAAACCTTAAAAAAAAAAAACGAGATGCAAACTGAAATCATCCCCCCCCCCCCAAATTGTATTGTAGTGAAGAACACAGCGAATCAGAATCTTGAATCTTTTGGAATCACAAAGTGAATCATGGTTAACCGTTTTAACATATCAATATTCACAGATTCTAATAATAAAAATAATAACTTAAACTGTCACAAACAGAGTAGAAATGATGTGGTGATACTGATGACTGTGAAAGCTGTGTGTGTTTTGTTCTTGGAGCTTGAGAAGCTGCTGAGGTTCGAGTCAAACACACACCTGAGACTTTCCTCCTCCCAAGACGTTCACCATCACCTCCATCACGGTCTCGTGCATCCCCAGAACACGCATCAGGTTAGGATGCTGGTAGAAGACCTTATTATTCATGATGTCCCTGAGACACACACACACACACACCAGATTCACGCTGTTAAACACATTCAACTGGAGCTGCTCCTGAATCAAGCTGAATGTTTCTGAAAGTCTCTTCTGCTCACAGAGGCTGCATTTATTTGATCAAAAATACAGTAAAAATAGTGAAATATTATTGCAATCTAAACCAGCTGTTTTTTATGTGAATATCTGTTAAACTGTAATTTATTTCTGTGATGCGCAGCTGTATTTTCAGCATCATTACTCCAGTCTTCAGTGTCACATGATCTTCAGAAATCATTCTAATATGATGCTCAAAAAAAACATTTCTGATTATTATCAATGTTGAAAACATTAATATTTTTGTGGAAACTGTGGTACATTTTATTTTTCAGGACAGATGAATAGAAAGTTCAAAAGAACAGCATTTATTTGAAATAGAAATATTTTGTAACATTATAAATGTCTTTTAACGGAATGCATCCTGATTAATTATAATAATGAATAAGTATTAATTGTATTTATTTTTTTAATTGTACTTACCCCAAACGTTTGAATGGTAGCGTATAATAAATTACATTTCTTTATTTTTTTTAATTTAAATTACATTTTAACAGATATTCACATAGAAAACAGCTATTTTAAATTATAATAATATTTCACTGTTTTTACTGTATTTTTGCAGCTTTGCTGAGCAGAAGAGACTTCTTTCTGAAACATTTAAAAAAAAAAGAATCAATCATTCCAAACATTTGATACATTCAAGATATGATACATAAAAACGAATTCTAATATGTAACGCACTTCTGCTTCTTAAGTAAATTCCTCTCATTTTAAGAATTCCTTGAAAGCAAGACAAAGCCACTCTTTTTTGCAGGGTTGTTGTTTTGTGGCTCTGGAGTGTTATGTTCTGTGTGTTGGGCTCGTCCTCACCCGAGGCCGTGGATCATCAGCTGCTCCTCCTCCTTCCCCATGCGGACGCTGAGCAGCGAGCGGATCTGGCCCAGAGACGCCAGCAGGTGGATGGTGTCGTGGACGGAGACGGCGCTGATGGTGTAGGTCTTCCTCGTGGCTCGGAGCAGCTCTCCGATGCTGTCGTACTGCCGTCTCAGCAGACTGAACATCAGCCGCACCAGCTCCGGGTCCTGGATGTGCGTCTCCTGAGCCCAGCTCACCATCGTCTGAGAGATCAGCTCCTTCAGATTCGCTTCACACACACACACACACACACAGACACACACACACACACAGGAGAAGAATTAACATGTTAATCTAGTGCAGTTAAATGCATGTGCAACGCAGAATCCCATCCATAGATACGAGCGCAAAAACACCCTCTTATATTGTGACCCTGCAGCACAAAAGCAGTGTTAAGTCGCTGGGGTATATTTGTAGCAATAGCCAACAATACATTGTATGGCTCAAAATTATAGATTTTTCTTTTATGCCAAAAATCATTAGGATATTAAGTAAAGATCATGTTCCATGAAGATATTTAGTAAGTTTCCTACCGTAAATATATCAAAACTTAATTTTTGATTAGTAATATGCATTGCTAAGAACTTCATTTGGACAACTTTAAAGATGATTTTCTCAATATTTAGATTTTTTTGCACCCTCAGATTCCAGATTTTCAAATAGTTGTATCTCAGCCAAATATTGTCCTATCCTAACAAACCATACATCAATGGAAAGCTTATTTATAGATGCATAAACTTTGACTTATGACTGGTTTTGTGGTCCAGGGTCACATATAGTTTACAAATCGGTCGAGTGAATAATTCAACGACTCACTCAATAAGACAGTGACTTGCTGGTTTTAGTTTCATATTTACAGTATCATTTCATTTTTCTTAATCATGTCATATTCCAATATTCATAAAAAAACAAAAAAACATAAATGATAATTTATTATCATTATTTATGCAATACGAAAGCTTCTAAAGCTACTTTTTTGTGATGTTTATTCAATGCTTTTCTCACTGAACACATTAATGACTTTAAATGCTCTTTTGGGGGGTCGTTTCTCAGCCTAATTGATGTGTGATTAATTTCCAATTGCACATCGTGCACTTAATTAGCCTAGTTTAAAGTGAAACTGGTGAAATCAAACCTGTCTGGAAACAGTCATTATTGATATAGAGATGAAGTTGCCATATAAGAGCATTTCACCGACACTTTCACACAGAGACCGGAAAGTGTGAAAGTGTATTTCTAAATGAACCTGCTAATGCAGATTTCAGGTTGAGCTGGTTTTCAATCTCTTATGCAATGAGATGAGAAGCAGCCGCTATAAATAGAATATCTCAACTGAATTCATTATAGAGTCAACGCCTTCAGGCTTTATTAAAAGGGCATCGATCAGAGGCTCATATGATGATATTCTGCTCTCAGAGTAAAACACTGCAGTGCAAGAGAAAACCAATTCTGTTCAGTGTCTTTACAGTGAATGAGAACTGAAGTCAACTACAATGAACATTAGTATCTATTATAATTTTTATTAATATTTTATTACTATCAATATTTAATAATATTACAGTTTTTATGAATATTTTGAATTAATCTTTATTTTTTATATTTTATATAAAAATTATATATTATATATTATTAAATTATATATAAATTATATTTAGAACTTTTTTAATGGATAATAACCCTGAGATGGACTTCAAATCAGCAGCTCTCATCTTTAAACTTCCCTTGATTTCAATTCAATTCAATTGAATTAAAATTAAGTAAAATTAGAATCTGAACATTGCATCCATCAATCAATCATTAAAAACCCTGGGGAAATCATATTAATTTAACATGGTGCATTATTTCAGGAACCCATGCCTTTGCAAAAAAATTAATATTCAAAATCAAAAGTCCAAAAAAATGTGGTTTTATTTTTATAAATTAAATTTTAAATTAAATAAAAAATTAATTAATTCAAATTAAAAATTTTATATAACATTTTAATAAATGAATGTTAAATAATGCATAAATGTCGGTCATCACCATTAAAAGCCATTTAATTACTATATTCATTTACCTCTAATAAAAAGTTTTTTTTACAGAAATCTAACATGGTAATACCAGGGTACTCTGAGTGCTGTGTAATGAGAGCGGAGGGACGCTGGAGGAAGTGCTGTATGTGTCGTCATTAGAGCGACTCTCACAGGCCGGTAAGGAAAGGGGCTGCTGGGAAAATCATGCTCTCAGCTCATCAGTCTGTCACGAGTCACGAGTCTGTCAGCAGTAAATGAGTGTTTATAGGGCAGCGCTGATGAACAACCCCGCTGAGACCCCAGAGACATGTCACACACTGAACAAACGCTGAGCTCAGGAGCAGCTCACCTAATCGAGTTCAACCTGTGTGTGTGTGTGTGTGAGAGTGTGTCTGTGTGAGTGTGTGTGAGTGAGATGTGGTGATTGTTCACAGTGCAGGGAAAAACACTGCAATCAGCAAACCAACCGTGCAGCAGCTTTCTCCATTAAACCCTTGAACTGTCTGAGTAAGCTCATATTTCAAAATGAAATGAAATAAAATGAAATGAAATAATAATAGTGAACCTCACAGACACACATATCTCACATTTCGCCCAAATAAATAAATAAATAAAACATATTAAAAATAAAATAAATAAAAATAAAATAAATCTCAGACAGAAACATGTCCGGCTCATATTTCACCCCAAAATAAATAAATAAATAATATAAAATCCCACACAAAAACATGTTTGACTCATATTTCACCCTAAAAAAATAATAATACAAATAAATAAATAAAGTAAAATCTCACACAGAAACATGTCCGGCTCATATTTCACCCTAAAAAAATTAAATGAAATGAAATATAGTGAATATAGTGAAAACGTGAATCTGACCCTAAAAATTAAATAAAATTAATCCCCAAATTCCTATTAGTATAATGAGAATTGGATAGCGGTTAATTGTCATGACTCATGAACATAATGCCTAATGCCTTTATTTTGTATATGCAAAATAATTTCCCTTCATCTTTTGTTTTGGGGTGGAATATGAGACTTGCTGTTGACGGGTTTAGTTTTTTTCTGTCAGTAAAGTCAGATGGAGTCGCAGTAAAACAACACGTTTCTCTGTGATCCCACACAAGTCTGCGTTCACGGTAAAATCCACCGGAAAGCACACATGATCCTGGGGATGTTTGGCATACGGCTTGCTAACGGACTCCTAAGCTACACTGTAAAAAAAAATCCGTAAAATTTACGGTAAAAAAACGGCAGCTGTGGTTGCCGGAATTTTACTGTAAAAAATACGGTAGCAACATTTTTTAAGAAGAAACATAGTTATTTCAACAAAAAAACATTAAATTTGAAATGTAACACAGGGAATTCTGGGAATGTCAATTTATGGTTATTCACTGTAAATTATACGGTCTTTTTCACTTCCAAAAACGGTACACTACCGTAAAATTACATGTAATGTCCAATACAGTTTTTCACCGTATATAGTAGAGGAATTTACCGTTAACCATTTAACAGGTTTTTACTGTAGCATTTTTACAGTCTTTTACCGTTAAATTCACGGTCATTTTTTACAGTGTAGCATTCGGGACTGAAGGAGTCGAGCTTACAGGGAGCGCTCTGTTCTTTCTCTGTGGGCTCACGCTCAGATCTCTGCGGTTGACCTTTGATCTTGTAGACGAGAGCGAGCAGACGAGCTTTAATAGACGAGTCCTGATCCTCCTCATCCTCCTCCACTGGAATCCCTGCAGGGACACAGATGAAGAACATCAGCACGTTACCCACAATGCCTCACTGCACCTCCGTCCAGAGCTCATTCAGCGAGGTTCAGATTCACCATCAGTGAGTCCAGATTCCACTAGAGGGCCTCAGCGAGACTTAAAACACTTTCAAACAAGACAAAACAAGCGTTCAAACAACCTGAGAACTACTGCAGACCACAGGAATCACAGTCTTGGAAAATACTTTAAATGTGTGATTTCTAGACCAGGAAATGTCATGGAAATTCATAAAATGCTATAATCATACGGGCATTTGTGTAACAAGCTCTAAAATATTTTATCAGGTATAAATTGAGTAATAATAAAAATTATATTCTTACTCAGTAAATCAAGAACGAATGGAAAGTTCATGGAAATTAATCAGGGCATTTTTAGAAGGAATACACATTTTTCTAGTTATTCCACAGTCTAAAATATTTTATCAGGTATAAATCTGAAAAAAAAAAA